GACGTAATTACAGTCAGATACATCCATCTCCAGCTTCAATTGCGGTCAGATACATCCAGGACGGTCACAGCGTGAGTATGCTCCCATAGTCTCACATCATGATGGTCTCCGGGCATAACTRCAGTCAGGTACATCCAGCTCCTGCGTCAATTGCAGCCAGATACATCCAGGTCAGTCACAGTGTGTGTCTGCTCCCMTAGTCTCTCACACATGTTCTTCATCARATGGTCTCTGGGCATCATTRCAGTCAGGTACATCTACCTCCAGCTATAATTGCGGTCAGATACATCCAGCACAGTCCCAGTGTGAGTCTGCTCTCATACTCTGCGATCCAAAACGTTCCCAGCTTCCCATTTTTTAATTTTCTTTAGTTTTTAAAGAAATGAACCACTCCCTCTGCTAGGAGAGGAGATAAGACCCCCCCCCCCCCCCCCCCCCCCCCCCCCCCCCCCCCCCCAGCTGACTGACAGGTTGCTCCAGTCTATTGGTGGGGACCACCACTGCTGGAAAAGGTGTCCCGCATCCCATTGCCCACATGAGCATCTGAATACCCATCTTAACTTTGAACGCTGCAGTATCTTTGCGCTTGAATGGATATTAAAGGTCAAAGTCAAACTCAAACTCGACGTCTAAGTCTAAGTCTAAGTCTAAGTCTAAGTCAAAGTCAAACTTAAAGTTAAAGCCAAAGCCAAAGTCAAAGTCAAAGTCACATAAGAGAGTCGAAGTCGAAGTTGAAGTCGACGTTCAGTACCTTTGCGCTTGATTGGATGTTAAAGGTCAACGTCAAACTCAAACTCGAAGTCTAAGTCTAAGTCTAACTCAAACCTTTGTGCTTGAATGGATATTAAAGGTCAAAGTCAAAGTCAAACTCGACGTCTAAGTCTAACTCAAATTCAAAGCCAAAGCCAAAGCCAAAGTCAAAGTCAAAGTCGCATAAGAGTCAGAGTCGAAGTCAAAGTTGAAGTCGACGTTCAGTACTTTTGTGCTTGAATGGATATTAAAGGTCAAAGTCAAACTCAAACTCGGAATGAAAATATTTGACATACTACTTGAGCCATATGACAAAAACTTCTCACGTATGGTTTTGATGAAGGAGAACCTATTTAGGGATAAGTCCAAGCCAAAGTTAAAGTCAAAGTCAAAGTCAGAGTCGAAGTCGAATGAAAACCACTCTGCAGAAGCTTAGCTATAGCATGAGAAGGAGGACAGCCACAGGGACAAAGCAATTTGACATTGGAGTAATAATTATAATTTTAAAGAAGCCTTAATTTTAAATTTAAGACCAGCCAACGGGTTATCTCTAGCGTGTAGAACACCAAGCCTCCCCAGGCACGTACGTGAGGTCATTGGGGATTGAACCCCATGACCTCCTGAATGCAACTTCTGTGCCTTACCTCACCAGTACGTGCTTGTGCTCTACTCCACTGCGCTGTGGATGACCTAGTCCAAAACGGAGTTCGGATGCACTCATAGTTCGGTGCTCGACTCCACAGCGCAGTGGATGTATCTATCCCGAAACAAGTTTGGATACGTGTCGGACCTGCCCACGGTCATTTGCGGATGCGTCCACGGTCGTGGAGACAGCTTGGAGATGGGGGAGACGAACACTCTCCATGCATCTGGGAAGAAAACTGATAACTATTCATGGGGGTGCCTTTCCATGCCCGCGTCTGAACTCTCGAAAAGCGGCGCAGCATGGCCAGCTGCTCCTGCAAACGGCTGCTTACATGGACGCCATCGCCATGGTGCACTGACAACATCATGTGCTGCAGTTTCTGACCGCACCAGTGCCGTGACTTTCTTCTGTTCCTGCTATTTGTTCCTTTTGTTGGAAAATACGAGGACGTCACAAAAATGAGTTATAATTGCAAAGGGGGCAAGATACAGTTTGCAATTCCAGTTCGGGCAATGTATACAACCCAGCTTTCTGGCCAGGTAGGGTGCCCAAAGTGCAATTGCAAACTGTATCTTGCCCCTTTTTTTCTCTCTCTTCCTTCTTGAAGTGATATTCATGTATATTCCTCCTCTCATCGTCCCCATACGTCCGCATTTCCAAGTACTCTATACACGCCTTGCAAGATGGGTGGCGGCCATGAGAATTCCCATTGTCCGTGCTCGTCACTCATCTTTCACAGAAAATGCAGATGTATCCCGACTGGTATATAGGGAATGTACATTGCGTTTGGGAGCTCATTCATGTCGAGCGTGATGCTGCGCTACCGCGCCAGGCGCGGTCTATCAGTTATTTTCAGCGCTCGCTAAGGCGCGATCTATTACCAATCGTCGTGGGACCACCCCTTTTTCCAAAAGAGAGGGCATTCGTGTAATTGGACGGGCCCTTCCCGGTCAATCCCCGGAGTACAGCCGCGCTGAAAGTCGCGTGTTTACGGAAAGCAGCTCGTCACAGTACAGGGGAACACCAACCAACCCGGATCTCTCCCTAACCCACGGGCTAGGTTGGCACCACAGCAGTGGTGCAAGAGCAAGGCTGTACCAGTCCCCCATCACGGTGAAGAGGGGTGGGCAGGCATTGCCGATGGGGGAAATCGACGGTGCTAGCATCGAGCAATGGCCAGTCAGTGGACCTCCCCCTACCCCACCCTCAACCCCACATGGCAGTATCTAATGGCTGATATTGTCGCTGCTTAGCAACCAACAACATCAGCGAAGGTCCTGCCAATGCTGGCTTGGGGGGCCAATGGGTTATCTCTAGCTGGTAGAACACCAAGCTTGCCCAGGCACGTACGTGAGGCCAATTGGGATTGAACCCACGGCCTCCTGAATGCAACTTCTGTGCCTTACCAACTAAGCTAGGCCATTGGGCCCTGCGGGCCTATCTCAGTTGGTAAAGCACCGAAGTTGCATTCAGGAGGTCGTGGGTTCAATCCCCATTCCCTCACGTACGTGCCTGGGCAAGCTTGGTGTTCTACCAGCTGGAGATAACCCATTGGCCCCCCAGACCTAGGCTGATGTTGTTGGTTGCTATGCAGGCAGACATGCACAAAAGACAAAAACCATGGTGGTGCATCTTTCAATGTTCTAGGGGGAGATTCACTCTCGTTTTGCACATTTGGAGAATAGTGGAGCGAGGCCGCACAAGGTGCCAGAACAGATGATTAGCCAGAACTGCTGCTATCCCTACTAAGCAGTCTTCCGGCGCACCCAGATCGTGAATGTATACAAGCTATTATTCCGGTCTGATGCAGTCCTGATGAGGGTGCACTGTAATCCGGGGAACAAGGGTAGTCAGCATGACACATTCGCGCATGATATCGCCCCATAGCCAAAAGTGTTATGCCAGCTGTATGCCAAGTTCGCAGACCTTGTAGACTGTGTCCCAAAAAAAAAAAAAAAAAAAAAATCATAACACACCTCATCATGAACGTACGTATACAAGCTATTCTTCCGGCGCGATACAGGGATGATGAGGGTTCGTTGAGAGGTGGGCCCTGCTGAGCGGGTGGCAGGATGGTAGACCAGAGGCAGATGGATAGCCTGAGTGTGCTTGAGGGCAACATATAGCAGAGCAGGCAGTGCGCCTGGAGAGATACGGAGCTTAGAGAAGAATTCAAGGGGCCTCGTGAGCACAGGAGACACAATAAAAAAAAAGGGTAGGGTCAAGAGGACATCAGGACAGCCGTCTGGTTTTGACCATTTCTTTTCCTCAGGGTTGTTTGTTGAGGTTTCCCGGCCTCTCTTTTGGTGTGCGCAATCAAATGAGCTGAGTTATAAAAAAAGAAAAAAAAGAAAAAAAAGGGGAAATTACGCGGGAGTTACAAAAATGAGTTATAATTGCACTATCGGCAAAGATACAGTTTCGAATTGCAGTTCGGGCAATGTATACAACCCAGCTTTCTGGCCAGGTAGGTTGCCCGAAGTGCAATTGCAAACTGTATCTTGCCCCATAGTGCAATTATAACTCGTGTTTGTGACTCTACTGAAGTTTACCTCACCCCAAAAAAGGGTGCGTGTGCTCGGGGGGAAACGGGCAGAGCGTAGACTGTGTTGACCTCTAAACATAACGCACCCTCATCATGAACATACGTCTAGAAGCTGTTCCGTCCCTATACAGGTGTGCTTGGGGGAACATTG